TATGATGAATGAATATCAATATTATTGTTTATTTGACTTTAAAAAATAATAAATGAATATGAAATAATGAAATAAAATAATGAAATAAAATAATGAAATAAAATAATGAAATAAAATAATGAAATAAAATAATCTAATATTGAACAAATCAAATAAAGAATATATTGAATATATCATTATTGTTACATTATTATTTATTATTTCAATTATTAAATATTAATAAATTATTCATGAATATTTAATTGATTGATATTTTACAATTTCATTTTCATTTTATTTAATAAATTAAATATAAATAATGAATGAATAATAATTTAATATATGAAATAATAAAAAGAAAAGAAAGATAAATAATAAAGAAATATGATGTATTTAATATATAATATAAATTATTATCAAATATAATAATAATATCAAATGATGAATTATTTTTATTTCAAAATATTTTGCATCAATAAAATATGTTGCTAAATATTTTGCATCATTAAATTTTGCATCATTAAATTTTGCGCTTTTTTTATTTGTTTCAATAAAATTTGCATCCTTTATTTTTTTCATTCTTTTCTTCTTTTATCATCTCTTTTGTTTTATTACACTTTATCTTCTTTATTTTTATTCTTTTATATCATTCATTCTACTTTTATTCTTTCTTCATCATATCCAACTTTTTACTTTCTTTTTATTCTTTTATATCATTCATTCTCTTCTTTTTCTATTATTTGCTTTTTTTCGTTGCCTGTTCACATCATTGAATATATTTTTGATGTAATACTAAATATAATCAATTTTTAGATTAGTAATAAATGAATTAATTGATGTTGTGATTATAATCAAAAAGCAGGAATAACAATGAATAATTTTGAATGAAAGTTGATAGTTTATTATTTAATATATTCATCAAATTATTCATATTCATCATTTTCTCATATGTATTGTTCAATCACTTGATTTAATATTAATTATTCAATTGAAAATAAAATCAGAATGAAAAATGAGTTTAATTTTTGAAATACAATATCATCATTTCAAAACTTAAATCATTTTGATTATTAAATAATTAAAAATACATTTGAATATCAATAAATGATTTTGTATCATTTAATTGATACAATTATCAAATGATTTGAAAATTCTCATTTCAATAAATAATAAATAAAAAGAAAATAATTGGAATTAATAACTAACCACGTGAAAAATATTATAAAAACAATAGACTTAAATATTAATTATCAATTAATTATTTCATCTTTTAAACATTCTGTATTTTGTATTGTAAAATGTATAATCAAAAAATATATTAAATTTGTTGTTAGTTTATAACCTACAACAAGAATAAACAATGAAAATAAAAGAAATAATGCCATCTCATAACTTCATCAAGTAATACCACATAGACAATAAAATGAATTAACCCACAAAAATGAAATAGAATAAATGAAAATCTGATTGATAAATAAATATCTTTTAATAAATAACATCCAATAAACATATGGATCAACATAAAAAGAAAAGAATAGAAAAATAAAGAATAAACTATTATATTCATTTCATTTTATTGTTTAAATGAAAAAGAAGATAATAATAAAATACAACAAAATAATATAAATTAATAATAATGAAAAAGAATGCATGTATTAAATTATTGTAATATATCTCTTATTTATATTAATAATATTAATACATAATATACTTTATCTCCCATATTATATTATTTTACTTCCATATTATTATAATTAAATAAAATAGAATAAAATGAAATAATATCATCATCAATTAAGATGATTAAAAGAAGTGGAAATATAATGTATACAATAATAGAGTTACTAGAAAATATATGATTAATGTTCTAATGCATCTTTAATATCAGATGTATATTGATCATAAGCTTGATTAACATGTTCATTAAATTTTTTATTATTTACATTGATATAATCTCTTTGGAACGATTTTTCTTTTCGTTCTCTATGAAATCTTTGAGCTTCTTTTTTACCTCGAGCAAGTTGTTTTTGTAAACAATCAATTTTTTCAGGAGAAACATACCCACTTTGTATTTTTTGACGAAGTTGATCATTTTGTTTGTATTGTTGATACTCCTTTTCAGTGTCTTTTGGATTTAGCCACCGGATCTTTCTTTCATAAGCAGAATATGCTTGTTTAGCTAAATCCCCTTTTTGGTCATTGATGTCTTTTTTATGCTTCAAAGTATTTGCTGGCATATCCATCCATGAATCAGTACTTTCATTCTTTGTGAATTTAGGTTTTTTACAGTCGACTTTTTGTTTGTTCATTTCATTTTCATATTCAATCTCAATCATCTCATCAAGGCTTTTTAATTTTGATGACATTTGATTTATGTTATTAATTTTGTTATTAAAAGTTTTTAAAAATTGTTAAACCCTTATTATTTTTCATAAAATAAAGAAACGTCGAGAAAAAAAAAAGGAAGAGAAAAACAGAGAAAAAATAAGAAAGAAAGAAGAAAAGAAGAATGGGAAAAAATTAGGGTTAAATATATCTCAACTAAAATCACAAGAGACTAGTGAATGTCATCAGTTAAGCTAAGAAA